ATAAACATAATTCAAGAGAGGCAATTCTACGTTATTTGTGTTCCTTATTGCACAATCCTGTATAAAATAGTTACATTTGAGGAGTCGTAAATATTGTGATTACTCCCAATGGGCATTGAAATAAAAATTTAAGAGATCCCGGTGAGGTTGAAATAGGTATTTATCAGCTTGATCAATAGGATAATGATACCACCAGAATACTAATACATGTACTTTAGTCCTAGAAATTAAAATAACTTAAGTTACAATACAAAGTCAAGAATTGAAATGGGATGAAGTTTTATTTCTTGCTTTTCAATGATCCACATTTTATAAAGTTTTAGGTTTGAGAAATTGCATTAGAAAGTCTGAAATGGAGTTTTGTAATCGTGCAGCTTATAATGGCAACGACGGACTGTAGCAATAGCTGTAATTTTTTTCGACTGTCTTTATTACGCAATGATGACGCATTCATAGCTCAGCTTTGATGAATACATTCAACATTTTGGAAACTTGATTCAAAACTAATCATAAAAGATATGATATGACAACTCGGCGAGTCTTGAATGATATTATTACTATATAAAATAAAATTTTATTGAGTATTGATATATTATCTCGTATTTTATATAATCTTATTACAAAACAGTCTCTAGATATTCTCTTTGTTTATTTTCTGCTGGTTACTTCATTTATTCTTGATCAATATGACAGAACAGTGTGTCTGGCCACTATATATATAATAATTGTCAATCTGTCAATCCAGTCGTTCCACACCTGGATACATGGTCCTAAGCGATTCAGTTATTCTCAGAGAGAGTACCAGATATTCATGATTACGACGGGAAAAGGACACCAGGAGATTTCAGGGTAGTCCAAATGTTTCTGAGACCAAATGTTTAGAAACATAGATCCTTCTGTAATATAAAAAGTTTTGCGCGTTAGATGGACACGATAGTTACGTTATGCTCTTATCGTGTTTGTCATTGTTCTTCGCAAAGCAATAATTGAGGTCACGTTCTTAACCGTTCAATTTGAAGTAGGACGTAAAACTCCATTCATTTCATTTCATTTAACCGTTCAATTTGAGATTTTACACTATTTGACAGGGTTGGTAGATGATTTAATATTTCAAGCAATGTATTTGCAAAATATATGAAGACACGGTCAGGTTTTCCAGAGCGTAGCCTGAATTGAGATTTCTTAATAGCCGAATTTACAGTGTCATATTTTCAACATAAGGGCGAAGGGGAGGGGGGTTGCAAAAGTTGTTGATAAAATATAAACCTATGGAATTGTTGAGATTACGACGTCTGTGACTTCTGTTGCTGGATCCAGACGAATCCTTCGAAACCTCAACCTGATCCAGTCTGGTTTTTATTCCTAGTGCATGTAACAACCTGACAATTTTTCAATTACCATATATCAGGAAAATCGTTACGAAAACGTTTCATTTCCCCGAAGCTTTCATGAATATAAACCTTAAATTATTCAATTCCGACTGAACATACTCTTATCGCTTTGATTTATCATTCCAGACACTGTATTTAGAATCTTGACAAATTAGTTTTAGAAATATCAAATTTATTTTGACACTAGTCATTATCTTTATATAAAAAGTTCGATAAGTCTGACAGAGCTTCAGTTTTTATCACAGAACACAATTGATATCCTTCGTTTTACCCCAACGGACTTTGCTTTGTGCCGATTGCAGGATGGTAATGCCTTGGCTACATCCCAAAATGTAATTTAATTAGCCTACATCAGGAAGAGGAAATTATGTTGTTTCTAAATGAGCTGCCGTGTCTTAAACGGTTACAAAAATGGTAGACCTATTTAAGCTTTCTCGTAAACTAACGGTCAATCGTGGAGGTTCTGCGTGTCCCTTGCATCATAGAAGTGTGCGTCACGTGTCTTTCATTGAACAATGTGACAGGGATAGGAAAACTCCATTGTAACAACCGAAAATAGGCCAATACCGGAAGTAAGGGAATATGATCTGTAATTAACAGATGATGGACGAGCACCTAGTAGAAGGTCTGTTGTTTACTAACGGAGCTGTTTCAGAACTATTCTCTTCCTCGCTCGTTTCTTAAATTGTTAACAAACATGCTATTTACTCTTTCTCGCAACCATCCAACTAAACATAGACAGATCGATGGACACGATGAAATAAGAAACATGGCGACTTATAATTTAGTTTACCTATACAGGAAGTTAAGGAACGTAATCTGTAACTTAAATATGCCATGAAATAGCCGGCAATAAATGATGAATGAGTGTCCGCCTATTATTTAAATATAATCAATATTACAGCCATAATTCCCCCTACATAAGTCTGTTTTCTTTCTGAATTAACAGATACAGACAATTAAGATGAGACGACCTGTCATTAATCACTATTCTTTCACTGGAGAATTGAAGACGATATGGCGAAATCTGGAGTTTTATTGTTTTCTTCAATCTACAATTTCACGAGAAACATAAAATGATTATATGGTGCCATGATGCTCTCTTCGAGCTAATGTGCTCCTTTAGTCCTTAGGCGACTATTTGGTGCGTTAGTGCGTAAATACTATTCTTGGGACAAGTGCCCGAAGTGCAAGGATACCCATTTTGTGGTGCTTATATAGAATTCTACTGAAATCCCCCCTTCGTCCTGAATGTTCCCTTAGTTCTTAGATTCTTAGCTTAAGAATGTCCACTTTGTGCTGCATTGCTTCCTGCATGTTAGAATGCTCCTTCTGTATCGAGAACAGTGTTAAAGCTAGACCCTATACTCTATATTTCTGGTATGTACTTGCTATATATTCGGATGCCCGTCATTTGACTTATTTGACAAAAAGGCACTTGATTGAAACAGACCCACAAATACTTACGAACAAAGGTTTAGTACTGACTATCAAAGAGAGTTATTAGACTTGTCAGTTCTCACATGAACCACAATATCGTCCATCTCCAGCCATTGTTTTTCTTGAAAGCTCTCATACAACTTTGTACGGAATTTCATCCAATTAATTTAGTGTAGGGCGACGCTCAAACATGGTAAAACATGAATAGACCAGTGATTCAATTATCATGGGAACTGGTTGAACCAATAACACGGATCCCCACCTTTGAGGGGCCCCATCTCCATTGATACCAGATTCTGGTAAAAAAAATCATTCTCCTTATAGTATCTAAATATAAAGGTACGCAAGTAGTCATTTTGTTCTTCAAATCTCTGGAGTATCTGGAGCGGAAGTAAACATCGCCGAGTAGGAGTATGATGTCCAGAAGAAAATGGCTACATGCGTACCTTTATATTTAGATACTATAGTCTAAGAGATATGATTTTTTTTACCAGAATCTGGAATCCTAAGAAAAAATAAAATATTAAAAGTAAACAACTATAATTAAACTAAGAAACCAACAACATACCGGCACCCCCTCTAAACCGCAACCCCGCATCAAAATTTATTGGTGAATATTTCGCCTATATTACCCCTTTCCCACAAAGATGTAAGAAGAGGGATGTGATTGTTAGTCACACTTTATGTCATTGTGCCCGTCGGAATTTACTTTGTAAAAGCTAAGACGGGATGCTAAGTTGGCTAAATACTATGGCTAAATATATGAGGCACGGTGTCCAGTGCCTAACACGGTGCGGGATAGGTTTATCAATTCAGTACAAAACATATAAAGCAAACCGTGCCCAGACTCGTCATCCATCGTATTAGCTTGTTCTATTTTGACACCGCACCGCATCGGACACCGCACCTCGTCTATTAGCACCTTCAGAAAAAAGGAAAATATAGTTGTTGATAGTAATGGCGTTTGGTTGTAAGGAATCTACTGAATGGTACATGTATCATTAGGATAATAAAATAGCGAGTAAATACCAGAGATGTGTTTTAGAGTAGTGATAGCTCGCACCATGTTTTATGAGATTAATTATATTAATGCCAGTTTAACGAGACGTAAGGTGAAATACCTCTTTAACCTTGCTTTCATAATATTGCCTATTAGTCCTATAGTTAACATGGTATCCATTCGAATATAAATCAAATCAGGAACTATTAGATATGCATTATTTCAGATTGTGGCATTAAGTTGGCAGCCACATTCATTAGTTGACATCAGGTGTATACGTGACAATCTTCCCATGGTAAGGCTTCTTAATACCTTTCAATGTACAATGGGTATCATCGTCTCTCCACCCATATAATCGGGCGATTCTATAGACATTTTGACGGTAACAACTAAGTATATTGAATGTTTATGTACCATTTATGTTTTGGTTAGCTTACGACCCATTAGCTTTACATTTACAGTTCGTGATAGAGAATCTAATATTGAATTATAATGTATTGTTAAATGTAACGTATCTGTAAATCAATTCTGTTTCAAGCGACCAATAAGCTTTTGTCAAGATAACCACCATTACAGACCTCATGATGCCGCTCAGTTATGGATCTGTCAACTTTCACTTATTCCAGAGCGTGCAAATAGCTGAATATCTTTAAGTATTTTTTTTATGTCCACTGAAATATTTGGAATTTGAATACGTATGTTCTTATTCCTTTATCAAACCTCAAAACTTTTTTTCACACCATTAAATGTTATGCGAGTGATTAATTTGAATTCTAATAAAATGTTTCTCTTAATTCCTCGGCTTTATACTAGTGGAATTTTATAGAATTACTTACAATAGAATGTCAGAATTCTATTAGATTGTATTAATTAGAATCGAGTCTTCCTATTAGAGTCTTTATTAGATTCATTATAATAGAACGCTGTAATCAGCAACTGACAACGGTTGGCATTTAAGTATTTATCAAACGATTTGCGCAATATATAGCATTCGTGTTCAGTAACAGTTTTTTGCATATACAAAGTCTTAGAATTGTAAGCTGTGAATGAAAGTAGTTGTTCAATGTATATCAGATCCGTAAACAATTACAATATCTTGACCCAATAACTTATTGGATATTTGTTCCTACCCAGGTCCCAAACTGAAATAAAACATACGCAAAACTTACCTAAAATATCAGCAATGGCCATATTGACCAGAAAGTAATTAGCTGAATTACTTCTCATCTTCTGATTGAGTAAAATGACGATCAAAACAAAGATATTTCCAATTACTGCCATCAGAAAAATTGGTATGTAGATACATATCAAAATAATTGTTCCTATATCATGATTAGCTAATGAAGATGTTTCTAAATTACCACCCGTATCCATAAAATAGCTACAGTTTTCAGAGTAGCAAGGCACCGGTAGGTCTAGAGCTGTATTGTTCACTTCCATTGTTAGGCTGGTATATTGAAATTAACAGTTGATCTTCAGTTGTAACAATTCAATTATATGGAGACATAGTCATTTATCGCAATTCCGAAAGTTGCCTTGAAAGGTAGCAGGCCTGATTTTCTATCCAAACACAAAACTGTGTTAAATCCGACGGAATAGAATGCGCAGATTACAGAACACACACAAACCAGATCATCATAGAAATGAAAGAAAGAATTTCAAGACCAATCCTCATATAATTCATTCCATTTTGCTGGTATCTAAACACAATAGAGGCACTTGTGTCGATCATCCAAATGCAAGAACGACCAGTCTGTATCCAGCAATTAATTTCGCTTCGGCCTCTATAAAGGTATACTAAAGTTTTCAGTTATTGTCCTCTTTTATTGCAGAAGGTGTTTGTCTCTGTAATGTAACTTCTGGACCTCGCTATGTCTTGTTTTAGATATAGCTACGACTCGTTCTGGACCTCGCTATGTCTTGTTTTAGATATAGCTACGACTCGTTCTGTACCTCGCTATGTCTTGTTTTTGATATAACTACGACTCGTTCTGTACCTCGCTATGTCTTGTTTTTTATATAACTACGACTCGTTCTGTACCTCGCTTTGTCTCTTGTTTTAGATATAGCTACGACTCGTTCTGTACCTCGCTATGTCTTGTTTTTGATGTAGCTACGACTCGTTCTGTACCTCGCTATGTCTTGTTTTTGATGTAGCTACGACTCGTTCTGGACCTCGCTATGTCTTGTTTTTGATATAGCAACGACTCGTTCTGGACCTCGCTATGTCTGGTTTTTGATGTAGCTACGAATCGTTCTGGACCTCGCTATGTCTTGTTTTTGATATAGCAACGACTCGTTCTGTACCTCGCTATGTCTTTTTTTTTTGATATAGCAACGACTCGTTCTGGACCTCGCTATGTCTTGTTTTTGATATAGCTACGAGTCGTTCTGGACCTCGCTTTGTCTCTTTTTTTAGATGAAGCTAAGAATCGTTCTGGACATCGTTCTGTCTTATTTTTGATATAGCTACGACTCGTTCTGGAAGCAGCTACGCCTGGCTTTCTTTTCAAATCGACTTTTTTATAAACCGGCGTTTCGTGTTCCTGAATTAACAAAGTCTTCAATATTTTGGATAATGGCACAAATAAATGCCTGTGGAATTCAAATGGTCAACGACTTTAATAACAGAATTCTCAGGAATCACGGATGTTGTCTAGTAATGATGGAATGGTCTGTCGTTTATCTCTACACCTATAAACACTGTCTTAACTAGTATATTTTCTCTTAGATAATTAAAACATTCACAATTCTACCAGGTGTTTTCGTCTTTTAAACAAATCTACCTTATCAATAAAACACTTGGAATAACTCAATAGCAATCCTTTACACTCAAATACCCACAGTCCAACCTGTTATTTCAATCATTGTATATCAATTCTTATTATGATCTATGTTCTACGTTTAACACTTTTAACAGTGTGGGATATCTTTATAGATATTGACATGTACTATACTTATTAATTGTTTTTGTTGTGAACATTCTTTCTTATGAACCATAGTTGTAATCGCACCCGTACCTTGGTAATTTTCAATATTGGGTTTCTAAAGCAATCTTTCAGTGAAATTGTCTTACAAATTGTATACCACACTTATATTTTTATTTGCAGAAGTAACCATATTAAATATTTCTTATCCTTGCGATTTCAACACTTTCTTGCTGAGACAGATTCTACACTAATATTTCCTTTCTGATAATACTTGTACATGTAAACCTATCTTTTACAGGTTGTCAAGCACGGTAAAAATGTAATAATGCTTTGAAAAGTGTCAAGTCTTCCTTTTAGAAACGTGAGTATAAACCGAACCTAAAGAATTGTCAATCACGATAAATCTACAAAAGTTATAAGTCTTCTGGTACTTCACCACAGTAATCGGTGAAGAAAATTCATTTGAAAAAATGCCACAATCTGACAAAATCAAATCTTTACATTTAATTCAAAATCAATACACTTTTAATTTAATGATCCCAGATGGAAATCACAAGCGACAGCGTCCGCTCGGATTGTTTAATGTTTATTAAAAACTCCACACAGTCACGTTATAAAAAACGCTGAATTTTTCATTTGCATGAAAAGGTATTCCATTTACCTTTTAGAATTCGAAACAAATCCATAAAAACACATGAAATAATCAGCACACTTATTCCCAGATGCAATGATGTTAAATTGTTTAAAAACTATGTTATCGTTGTTTCGTTTCCATTTTAACGTCCTTGTTGAAGCACGGAATTTATAGAGACCGCGTTACGTTGTACATTATCTATGTTAACTGGCCAATGGAAGAAGGTGCGTGACTGAACCACACTCCATGCTCCGTTCAAGTTTATCCGCTTACATTGGTCAGAGAAAGATGAAGTTAAAATAGTATAATCGTCTACATCACGTGTTGTTATTGAGACGGTATGATTGATTAATAATATCAATAAATTGCTGTCTACCAACTCAGTACTTTACCAATAAATAATTCCAGTACATAACACACCTGTTAATGCCATTATAAATAATTTAAACATAATAATCAGGTAAATCAGAGTAATCTGTCCCTTACTACATGTAGATAGTATGTGGTTCTTGTAGTCGTCCAAAGCAAACCACAAGAGACTTCCTTATACCTACGATAGCAAACAATAAAAAGCATTTTTTCTTTTAGGCTATATCTGTCTCCAAAAGACGGACAACGCCATGCAGTGTGCATTTGAAGAGCTTTACCACAATACTGGTACTCTATTCCAGTTTGCAGCTTAGGATTATTAATAATATTAATAATATTGTAACGTGACGCTTAATCAATGACCAAAAAACTCAATTGTTATTGAAAATAAAGATAAGAATCGATCCTAGTTTCTAATAATGAAAAAATAGTGGCATTTTAATATGTTGAAGTCTGGATAAATTTTTCAATCACTCAAGAATAAGAAATACAATTAAATTGTTTTTAAAAATCAATCTGATGATTTAGGACAAAACAACGATCGCCTGTTTGTCTTTCCTATCACGCAATGGAACAATTTAAAAAGTCTCCCATATCTAAGCAGAGGTTAATGGGTTTTCTAACTTTTTTTAAGCCCACCACTTAGAATATTAGTTTATTGATCTCTTGAGAAGGTTGTATATCCTGAATGCACTTGATAATTATATATAAAGCAAAATGATAGTCTTGAAGGAATTGACCACAATAAAGATAAAAGACATCGATTCCACAGCTTTTCTATTCTATCCGAAGTGTGTAATGATACGCGATACAGACTATCTGAGCTAGCCTTGTCAGAAATGAAGTGTAAAATTTCCATTAAATATGATGACAATATTTTAGGAAATTGGCTGGCCATGAAATAACTGTTGTGTTTCTTCTGGCAGTCGATATACATGTATTATGATATGAATTATGGTCAGTATAATGAAGGGTCGATGTAGCATATGGCAAGAATGATTAGTTTAGTGTCAGTGTGTTCGAGCCTAATTTATAATGTATACACTGATAATATATACAGTAGATACCCAATGTTGATGGTAAATAGGTAACAATTACTACTAATTAAATTACTTTAAAATATGGTGCTTTAAGACAATTATATTACGCTGACTTGGCGCTCTTGCCAGTTGTTACAAAAAGAATAATCAAGAATTATAATCAATAAACTAAGGTATCAATAAGATCGATCTATAACAAAAATATGCAATGAAATGAATTTTATAGTACTAAGGCTAAAGAATAATATAGAAACAAAGGCCTAGTTTGTTGAATGGGACATTAAATCTTGGATGGAAAGCTTAAAAAGAGGTGTTTGAAATCGCTGTTCTGGTTGAAATTGCTATTCTAGCAGGATTCCCTTACTTGCTTCATGTCATTGTCCTCTATTACAAGCTCAAGCAAACAGGCTATCCTATATTCATACGATACCTACACTAGAGGAGTTGTTCATTTTGTTGATTAGACTTGACCTGCCTCAGAGAAGATGTTATTCTGATTTGACCTACATCACAGAGGATGTTGTTCAGATTTGACCTACATCATAAACGATGTTGTTCAGGTTTAACCTACATCGCAGACGATGTTGTTCAGGTTTAACCTACATCACAGACGATGTTGTTCACTTTGTTTATAAGATTTGACCTACATCACAGACGATGTTATTCTGGTTTGACCTACATCAAGAAGATATTGTTCACTTTGTTTATAAGATTTGACCAACATCACAGACGATGTTGTTCAGATTTGACCTACATCGCAGACGATGTTGTTCAGGTTTGACTTACATCACAGACGATGTTGTTCAGGTTTGACCCACATCACAGACGATGTTGTTCAGGTTTGACCTACATCACAGACGATGTTGTTGAGGTTTGACCTACATCACAGACGATGTTGTTGAGGTTTGACCTACATCACAGACGATGTTGTTGAGGTTTGACCTACATTACAGACTTTGTTTATTCGATTTGCCCTTTCATCAGAGAAGATTTTATTCACTTTGTCGATAAGATTTGACCTACTGCACTAGAGAAGATGTTGTTCATTTTGCTGTTTAAGTTTGAGCTGAATAAAGAAGAAGTGAGAGTTTAATTCGCAAAGAAAATCTACTTAATCAAACCCTGGTTCACTTTTAACCTTTTGTCAATTGAAGTTAATAGGATAAAAGCAAGGAATTGGATTGTTTTTGACAAAAGATTGACACACGCAATATCTGGCTTAATTTTGTTAAGTCAGTAAATATTCTTTTACCGTTTATTTCGATTCCCTTCTATCAATTGGAAATTTGTCAGAATTACTAAAAAAAAAACGTTTATACAAGATTGACCAGATTT